ATCATGTGAAAGAGGTGAGAGCAGTGTTACAGCGCCTCATTGAGAATCAACTATACGCAAAACTACCTAAATGTGAGTTTCATCAGACGCAGATCGCTTTCCTGGGTTACATCATCAGTGCTGAGGGGGTCACCATGGATGGAGACAAAGTTCAGGCCGTGGTAGATTGGCCACAACCAAAGAACGTCAAACAACTACAACGTTTCTTGGGCTTTGCAAACTTTTATCGTCGTTTCATCAGAAACTTCAGCGTCATCGCCGCACCACTCACTTCCATGTTGCAAGGAGGTGGACATAAATTGAAGTGGTCACCCAGCAGTCTAAGAGCTTTTCAACAGTTGAAGGAGAAATTTACCACCGCTCCTATTCTGCATCACCCCGACCCAGAGCGAGAGTTCATCGTTGAAGTGGATGCGTCGGATACAGGCATCAGGGCAGTACTGTCACAACGACAGGGCAATCCAGAGAAGCTCTTCCCTTGTGCATATTATTCACGAAAACTAAATTCTGCTGAGAGAAACTATGATGTGGGAGACCGGGAACTTCTAGCCATGAAGCCAGCTTTGGAGGAGTGGCGGCATTGGTTGGAGGGGGCGCATCTTCCATTCACCGTTCTAACCGATCACCGTAACCTAGAGTACATCAAGACAGCCAAGAGACTGAATCCCAGACAGGCCAGGTGGTCCTTGTTCTTTAGTCGATTCGACTTCAAAGTGACGTACCGTCCAGGATCCAAGAACGGTAAGGCGGACTCTCTCTCAAGACAATTTGATAGTTCACCCAATGCTCATACTTCAGAACCCATTCTGCCCCCCGCCGTCATCGTGGCTCCCATCCAGTGGGATATCATGACAGGAATTTCAGCCGCTCAGCAGGAGGAGCAACCACCTTCGGACTGTCCTCCAGATCGTACATATGTACCGACTTCTCTTCGCACTCGAGTGCTGGAATGGGTGCATAATACTCCCAGCTCAGGCCATCCAGGAATCACAGCCACTACTCACCTAGTCATGAACCGATTCTGGTGGTCAACGCTTCAGGCGGACGTTATCTCCTTCGTAAAGCAATGCATTGCATGTAACATCTCAAAATCATCTCACCAGAGACCTGCCGGATTACTCCAACCACTTCCCATACCACAACGCCCATGGTCCCACATCGCAATTGACTTTGTCACCGATCTTCCTTCCTCACAGAGTTTCACAACCATTCTAACGGTGGTCGACCGGTTTTCTAAGGCTTGTCGGTTCATTCCATTGGTCAAACTTCCCACAGCGCTACAGACAGCAGAGGCTTTGATGCAACAGGTGTTTCGGCTGTACGGACTACCCGAGGATATCGTGTCTGACAGGGGTCCTCAGTTCACGTCGCGGGTATGGCAGGCTCTATGTGAAAAGTTAAATATCAATGTCAGTTTAACCTCCGGATATCATCCACAGGCCAATGGACAAGTAGAGAGGCTCAACCAGGAACTCACTCGTTTCCTGCGGACATACTGCAACCAAAATCAACAGGAGTGGAGTCGTTTTCTGGTGTGGGCTGAATATGCTCAAAATTCCTTACGTAAACCGTCCACAGGTCTAACACCATTCCAATGCATTCTGGGTTATCAACCACCTCTATTTCCCTGGTCCGGGGAACCCACGGATTTACCGGCCATTGACGATTGGCTTCGGAGAAGTGAGGAGACCTGGAATAGTGCTCATGTTCATTTACAACGGGCAGTTCGACGTTTCAGAGAGCAAGCGGACTGTCATCGGAGAGGAGGGCACAACTATCAACCAGGACAATGGGTCTGGCTGTCATCCAGGGACCTACGCCTCCGTCTTCCCAGCAAGAAGCTGAGCCCTAGGTACGTGGGTCCATTCAAAATTCTCAGACAAATGACCCCTGTATCATACCGACTTGCATTGCCACCTACTTACCGTATCTCTCCCACTTTCCATGTCTCATTGCTCAAACCTGCCGGAGCTCCGAGTGGAGAGAGGGACCAGGACGAGGTTGCGGAGACGAGCTCCCCTCCCATCATCATCGAAGGCGAGGAGGCTTACCGGGTGAGAGAGATTCTTGACTCAAGACGCCGAGGCAGGGAACTACAGTATTTGATCGACTGGGAGGGGTATGGTCCTGAGGAGAGATCGTGGGTAAAGTCCCAGGATGTTCTGGATCCATCATTGATCTCCGAGTTCCATCAACAACACCCCACTAAACCTGCCCCGAGACCCCGTGGAAGACCTCGGCGTCGCACACATCCTCGCTTCAGGAGCCGTTTGCAGGAGGGGGGCTCTGTCATGAATCGCTACTCCGTGGCTCTCTCCGCTCATCATAGAGTTCCGCCTCCCGAGTGTTGAACTGCATTTCCCATAAGCCCCGTACCTAGGGTTAATCACCGGCACAGGTGTTCTCTATTTACCCTCCTATATAAACAGCCCGCTGACTCTCAATCAGTGCGAAGTCTTGTTTTGCCCCGGCGACATTTCTGAGCGTTTTCCCCTGTGTTTATCTGGATTCTCTGTGTATCGACCCTCGACTGTTCTTGGACTTTGATTCTCCGTTTGCTGCCTGCCCTGACCAATGCCTGTGTTTCTGGATTACGACCCTTGCTGCCTGCCCTGACCCTCGCCTGTCTCTTCTGGACTTTGATCATTGCTGCCTGTCCTGACCCCTGCCTGTCATCGGTGATTCTTGTGGATTGTCTGTTATACATTTATGCTGATCGTTGACCCGTGCTTGTATTACTATTTTTAATAAATCTACACTGCATATGGATCCGCACGACTCTGCCTCTCCATTACAATTAACATATTTAAAATATGTTTAAAGTAAATATAAAATAAAAATGGTAATATGTTATATTAACATATTTTATATTTAATAAATATTACATATTAAATAATATTATGTATATTATATATTAAATTTTCATAAATATTAACAAATGATTGTTTTAATTATGGAATTCTCCATAATTAACTCCTAAACTTCAGTAGAGAACAATTCTTTGTAAGGAAGGAGGGGTTTCTTTATTGTACATTTATTTGCATGTAGTATGTAGCCTATGGTTTGCGTTGCTTTAAATTGGTCAGTGCAGCGCTGACTATTCAGTGTCGCTAGGAAACACGTCCGCGCTGCGCTGACGAATCGGCCGCGCGGCTCGGATCATTGAACCGTGCAGATGACATGTCTGCGCGGCACGAGCTTTGTAAAGCCCCGCTGTCTCGTCCCACTTTTGGTTTGTTTGGCTTCCCATATCTCTGCCGTGCACGCGCCGCGCGCTATGTATGTTATACGCGCAGTATCTCGCTCTAGATTCCGGGAGATTTTAACTCATTTGCGGGCATCAGGGAGACGCTATCAATATGCGTGAGACTCCCGGAACTTCCGGGAGACTTGGGATGTCTGCATAATACAAGTAAAAAGAAAAAACTTATGTAATTACTAAACATAATATTTTTCAAAATGCTGTGTGAATATGTACCCGATTAAGGTGAATTAAAATGCAGCCTTATTAATGAGCAAAACGTTCGGATTGTTAAGCCCACCATTTACGCGTGGCTGGGAGCAGGTGTAGATTTCTTTCGTACCAACTTACATTTGGAAAATACCAACATTTTAATGAATCTTTAATGAAAATTTACACCAGAACCACTTTACACACGATTTACACAAAAATTCGTTCTGCTCGTGTTTTATGAATGAGATCCTGTGAGTGGCACTTTCAGGGCACGTGCTCCGTGTTCATGTTTTACTTACAGATACGATTTAGTTTTAATCCAAATGACACGTGTGCTGAGTGAACGATCAGCAACCAAGAGCATACAGCAGAAGTGGGCTATCTCTCTCTCTCTTTCTCTCTCTCTCTCTTTAGTTAAAGTTAGTAAATACGTGCTTCGTTTTACTTTCTTTGCTATTTATATATCCGACCGAACAACAAACTTTCCACTGATGTCTGTGAAAGGGTTGCGTTCGACCAGTTTGCACATTCTCTTATCAGTTTGCTCACCACAGCTATATAACTATATCTAATTATCTCACTAATAGACCAACGCTACTTTTGCGTCATCGAAGGGTAACGCAAAACAGATTCCCCTGATAACAGAACTCACTCTAGATCTGCAAAGTTTCTTTATAGCAAAAATGGCACAAACATACACACTCTCTTTGCCGGCCGAGGACTGTGAGCGGAATTTAAAGAAGCTACTGGATACGGGGTTACAGAGGTGTCCCTTTGAAACGGAAAACTGGATTAATGACCCCACGCAGTGGCCAAATATGGACTATTTAGACATCTCCCACTATCTCGTGGAATCACCAAGTAAGTAGCCTATTTTTTGTCATTAACACACTCACAGTATGACAAACTAGACTATGACGCCATGTCACTTGGATTATATTTAACTTGATTTAAGCTATTGACATAGTTTTGTTGTTGGCTAGCTATACTAGTTAGAAAGACGAAGCTGCTAGCAGCTAACGTTACGTGATTAGCTCTCACTAGGCACGCTACCTTTGGCCACTGCGTGGGGTCATTAATCCAGTTTTCAACTATTTCAAAGGGAAACCTCTGTAACCCAGTATCCACTAAATTCTTTAAATACCGCTCACGGTCCTCGGCCGGCAAAGAGAGTGTGTATGTTTGTGCCATTTTTGTTATCAAGAAACTTTGCAGATCTAGAGCGAGTTCTGTTCTCGGGGGAATCCGTTTGTCTTCCCCCAAAAAGGGGTGTTACCCTTCGATGACACAAAAGTAGTGTTGGTCTATTAGATATATTACTTCATAGACAGTACCCAGAAAATTGTTATATAAATGTAACAAATATCCTCTGTTGTAACTGAAGTCAAACTGATGATAAACTCTAACAAGACTGAGCAGTGAAATTACACATGGCACATCTGAACAAGAAAAGTACAATGTAATTGGATACAGAATACATCTTAGCAAAGTGATTTTTACATAATTAATGCAAGATAAAATCAAATGCAAGTATTTGAGTTCAGACCTCAGTATCTGTAGCTGACAGTTTGGGCTCTTCAGTCCATCAGAAAGCAGCTTCACTCCTGAATCCTGCAGGTCATTGTTACTCAGGTCCATCTCTCTCAGGACGTTTGAGGATTGAAGAACTGAAGACAAACTCTCACAAGATTGAATGGTCAGATTACAGCCAAGTAACCTGTGTGGAGAACAAAACAAACAGTAATATTAATGTGTTTTTCATGTAGAGTTTATAACAGGGGTTCTCAGCTCAGACCCTTGAGATCCACTTTCTGGTCGAGTTTAGCTCAAACTCTTATCAAATACACCTGAACAAGCTAAGGGACCGATCGATATTTATGGAAAGGACCATCGCAGGAAAAACAGGGTAGGGTCATGTCTTTTTATTCTTTGTTGAGGGGAGGATCATCCAACTTTTTTTAGTCTAGGAGGAGGGTTATGGAAGTAAAATAATGTCAAATGTTTTTGAAACAAAAAGCATGTTGAATTGCACCAACTGAAAAAATATGCATTGCGTTAACCATACTTGCATTTAATCCATTGTATTTTTAAAGAGGACATATCATGCAAAATCCACTTTTTTAGCCCTTAAATGCATTTTGTTGTATATTTGGAGTGTTGAAGTACAGAAAAGATGAAATTATTCTCTTCAGGTGCTTCGTTAATATCTTTATATTCTGTTTTGGTCATATTTTTCAACCTGTTCAGATTTTTCTCTTCTCTATGATGTTTTTTGAGCAAGTGCGTCACCGTATTTGCAGCGGAACTGCCAAATAAGGACATCGTCTACCGGCCCAACACTTCGAGCAATCCGTCATTATTATTTCTCGCTCCGATTTTGTAGTCCGAGCTCAATGATGCAAAAGTTACGATAGGGCAAGTCAAAATGTTCGGTTGTTGGATGTACGTTAGTGACCTGAAGCACTTCAAGGATTCCCACTTCAACAACCTCCGCCAGTATAAAGAAGGGTTTGCCAATTGACTTTGTCTGAATGAGAGGTAAATTCCTTCTATCTTTGGAGACGACGAACAGAGCATTTCGATAAGCTGTAAATATCGTTAATAAAAATAAAGTACTTTACTTTCTTAAAACACATGGTGGTCATGGTTTAGCAGTACCTTTGTCTTTCTTTGTTTTGGTTTTGAAGTAACGTTCCACGTCTGCAGTATTATTGTTCTTGAGTTTCATCAATGGTCATTTAGCTGCGTTGTTTTCTGATGCTTTTCTAAACGTATAATATTGTCAATACAGATTTTTTTTGTGGTAAGATTAGACCGTAGTCATTTATCTTGTCAGTGTGCTTGTTTTAACAAGAGAAATAGTCGACTTTCACTAATAACACAAAACAGTTAACTCGCATACCAATACATGAAGAGGTTGTTCTGCAGGTTCGTCGTCGTCTTTATCAACTCGCTCGCTCTGGCTCAAATATGTAAGGCTTGATGGACAAGTCTTCTGTTGTTGACATTTTATTAACGTGTGAATAAAAATGTTCTCTGGAGGTATCGTGTATAATTGTATATCTCTAATCAAACTACAATAATGGCCGAACGTGGGGAGTTGAACTGACCGTGAACTCATCGACCTGGAGAGCGGGCGGGGTATGAAGTATCTCCTTTTTATTTAAAGGGGCCGCTTTGAAACGGGTCGCTCAAAGATGCACATCAGAAAAGGGGTAGAAAAGGGGCCTGTTGAGCTATAATAATGAGGAATTCAGACTCAAGCATTGCAGTTATGTTTTATATAGACCACAACGGTATGATTTATATGTAAAAATGAATTATTTAAAAGTATGATATGTATGTACCCTTTAAGGTTTGCATTTTTATGGGCTGAAATTCAACATGGTTGAATATTTAAGCTGTGAATATTTCAATTAAAAACTTTTCAAACACATTTTCTTTATTAAAAATTCAAAAATTCATAAGACATTTGAGTAAACACTTTTGTATTTTGTGTCTTAATCAACCTTTTCCACACACATATAAATTTTAACCCGTACTCACGCTGTGTCCATTTCAGCAAATTACGTTTTGTGAAGGCCTCTCGTCTCTAGCTGTTGCTTTGGTGCTTGTCAACACGCGCTAGCACCCCCTGCTGGTAAAGACGACTAACAGCAGATGGAGATTATACTCTGCAATCTACTGCTTTTCCTGCAGTTCCTGGATGTCAACGTAGAATTTTCTGTTGAATTTGAACCACTGAATTTGTGGAAGCGAATTTTAAAGGCGAAATAAAATGGACCGAAAAAAACCTGTTGAGTATTATAGGTTGTATTTTTAAACAATTTGAAAATTTTGGAAGTGAATTATGAAAGGTGAATATGGATTATTGAATTTTTAATAATGAAAATGTGTTTGTAATGTTTTTAATTAAAATATTTACAGCTCCATATAGGGTCACCCAACAAACTTTTTTTGGGTGACCCTCTATGGAAATAAAATAATGTCAAATGTTTTTGAAACAAAAAGCATGTTGAATTGCACCAATTGAAAAAAAATGTTTGCGTTAACCATGCTTGCATTTAATCTTTTGTATTTTTAAGGCTTGCATTTTTATGGGCTGAAATTCAACATGCTTTATGTTTCAAAAACATTTGACATTATTTTACTTCCATAGAGGGTCACCCAACTTTTGTATTCCTGAAAACATTTCAAAGTGGCTTGTTTGGTGCATATTTTCCCATGTAGCTCTCTCGGTCTCGGTCCCCCATTGCTATCAGATGGGTCTGGCCCAACAAAAATCAGACGCAAAAGATAAAATCCAGTTCGACGCTGTTTGACAGTGCACGCGCACACGCGCAGTACGTGTTTAGAAAAAGTGCATCATGTCAGAACAGAACGCCAATAAAATGTTTATCCAGCAAAGATTTAAAGCATGAGCAAATAATGAACTTTTGTGATTGTGAATACGTGTCCTGTGAGTTTAACTCAAACGCTGTATTAACATGTGATGTGAATGTGCATCGAGTTTTACAGTATTCGGACTTAAAGGCACACTATGCAGGAATTTAGTTTTTGTCAAAGAGCGACCCCTAGAGTCACAGTGGAGTACTTGTATTTAATGTCACTGTCGTAAATACCACTCACGCAGAGCGTCTCTGCACTCACAGCCTGATACCCATTTGAAGATTTTATATTAAGGTACAAATCTTGCATAGTGTGCATTTTTGTGCATCAGTGTCATGGATACATAGTGTCTCTCATGGCGGTGCGCGAGTAGTCTTCACTCAGACACTCTTCAATCTATTGCAGTTGCGGAGACTCTCTAATCATTACGGTGAAATCACAAAATAAAATGCACACAAACGTGTCCCTGCTTGATATAGACTGTTACCACTGATGAAAATATTCAGTTTTGATGAGAAAGAAAAAAACGGTGTGATTCTCGCTAGATTAGTCGGGGGCGCTCCTCCCAAACTTGCATCACACTTGGTGTAGGTCTACTAGACATAGAGATATCTGAACATCTTTGGCAGACCAGTACAGAAGTAATCAATAAATGATCGGGGAGGGTCATGCCTTTTTCACAATCATTTTGGAGGGTCATAGAAAAATGTTTTGGTGGCGAAGGGAGGGTGGAGTCTATCTCGCGTGACATACGCTGCCAGTGTGAAAGCAAAACGTGTGTGTGTGCTGCTCCCGCTCACCATACAGACTGCTGACGCGTGCAGTGTGAAACCGGCGTAAAGCCTCCTCAATCTCGCAACTTATTTGGTCCATATTCCCCATTAATTCAATTAACGTTGTGTATATCATGGTGTTTGTATTTTGCATTTTGGGTATTTTCAAGTATTTTTCTCCAACGGTGTAGTCAAACTTGCCAATAAGATGCAACACCTCGATAAAGTTGGCTCGGGTGACAGAAGTCTCCGCTTCTCTGTGACCTTTTTCTGCAATTTTCACAATGATTCAACAACTGCTCGCATGTATTCCCTATTTTCCCGAACTGCTTTTACATGCCCTTCACTCAAAGCATTCTGGGTGTTCAGCCATCCTCCTTCCTAATGTTATATTCAGCCCATGCATCCACACAGTGTGTGTGCCGCACTGGCATTGAGTGTTTGGAGAGATGGTGTTGCTTTGTGTCGATTCTGAAATCCGTTGTGTGTAAACTCGCAGGTCAGCCTAACTGAGTGCTCGCCATTAAAACTATTAATTATTCAGAGGCTACACATTTTTTTAGGTTGTTAATGATTTTTTTTAATGATTTTAATGAAAGTGACAGTTTAAATAAACAACAACTGGAAAATCATTATGAAATGCTAAGGCGGGGCTGCGCTGGTGCTAAGCAAATTTGAGACGAGGCTATAAATATATATAAATCGAGATCTCTGAGATGATTCTTTTGTGCTTTTGTGTGGAACAGGTGTATAAAAGCTGTCTGTTCTATATGTCATTTAGGTCTGTGTTCCTATCGCGAGGTAGCTGTCGCTGTATTTTTATGAACAAGCCTCCTCCAAAAGAATAAACATCTTTTGGAGATAGACTCCATCTGTTTGTTAATTAAATTGTTTTTGCCACAACAGTTTTAGTGTCAGAAGTGGGACCTCACGGCAGTTCTTTCTGGTCCTGAGACGGATTTGACGGAGTGAATCGGCCCAGTACCAGGCTACTGGTCTCATACCTCGGCAGGTTGGGAGAGAACTTAACAGATTACGAGAGAGAGAGCCAAATCCCGATTTTTCAGGGCCAGGAGGGACTCGCCTGAGATCTGAAAGAATCCGGTGGCAGTAAAGCATCTTGGTAAGAGACCTAAAATTTATTTTATTTTTTTTTATTTCGCATGGTGTAATTTGATATAACTATTAGGTGAACCATAGTGGCTGAACTATCACTTTGGTACGGGCAGGGAAAGTTTTCGAGGGGTGAATTGAGGTGGTGACGGGCATTTCGACTCTTTTCCTTGAGCTGGCTCATTTGAATCGACTCACTAAAAAGAGCAGGTTTTTTAGAAATAAATGATAAAAACTGACACGTAACAAAAATTTTAATTGGCACCTGAGGAAGTCGGACCAATTTTTATGCCGAAAACTGATATTGACACCTGAGGAAGTCGGATCAATTTCATGCAATCGGAAAGATTTGTTACTAACTTTTTTATGAATTATGCTATAACCGGTAATTGTAACACGTGAATCAGCACGAACAACCCGTCACTACAAGCCAATTTTATGC